CACGAGCTATAGGACTTTCACCGACTAGTTACGATCCTGAATTTGAATTCAGCCAAGATCTTCTGACTGCAAAACATGTCGATGACATTAATATGACAGGTCTAGAGAAGAATATCGACGACTATGTGCAACGTGTCGAAAAGGTTTTTGGCAAATGCAAGCTCAACAAGCACACATATACGAACTGTGCCGTCCGCTACACTAAGAATGATCAGGGAGATGTGATCATGGACCAGGACGAGTATATCAAACAACTACGTCCCATCGCACATCCAGAACTTACAGGAGCGGCGGCCGACGCCAAAGCCACGAAACTTATTACCGACATGTTCGTCAGCCTGCGAGGAGCCCTCGCCTATGCCTTTCTTATTCAAATCTGGCTTATGGTATACGTGGTCTCTCTTCAGAAAATTCAAGAGCCCGCCAATTTACAAGTCAGACGTTTGAATGCTGTGACGCGAAAGCTGATCAGCAGTCCGAAACGTATCACCTTCCCTCGGATGAAGCCGACGAATGAAGTCGACATCCATAGCGATTCGGGATATCGGAAGCTTACCGGGGAGGAGGATGACGAGACCAAGGGCTACGGCATACGCGGGGCCAACGTACTACGGCGAGGAAACTCGCCTCAAGGCAAGTCCGTCGTTCACCTCTGTGACGGACTATGCAAATCACACCGATTACAGGTGAGGTCCAGTTATGCTGCGGAGGCACTTGCAGCCGCACATAACCTTGATGAGTGTTACCCTACGCTCATTACTCTCCATGAGCTTAAGGCAGGGGCCTTGACTCCACGACAACTACGAGATATGCGTGAAGTTGGAGGCCTTGCTATCAAAGTCTCTCTGACCATAGACGCTGAGTCCGTCTACAAATCTTTATCAAGCAGGGATCTCAAAATACCCACAGAACGGACTCTGCTTGGACATATCAGTTGGATACGTGAGCTTATGGATATAGGTATAGTACATAACGTGCAATGGTGTGATACTAGGGATATGACCGCAGATGGGCATACAAAGGGAAGCATCGATCGGGAGCTGCTTCTGGAAGTGATGTCAGGCACTCAGTCATTTAAGTATGACGTGAAGCAATTTGTTCCTTTTCGGGGTCCCGAGGACAGAGACAAACCCAAGTCTAATCAATTTTAGTCTGTCCTTGTTGCCCTCGCGGTCCAGTTTGCCAGCACGGGCGCCTATTATAAAGGCGCCCCTTTAGTTGCTCGGAAACGAGCCTCATATTTCACGCCTGGCAACGAGCCGGCTTCGTACAACTCAGGCTCTTTGCCTTAATACACATTTGCTTGGTGAGGTATGGCCTAATTTTGGCCCACCTCTAACTAGGCCGATAGCCCTTCATTATTTGAAGGGGCTGCCCTGTATTTGCGTGAAATACTTTGCGAGGAAACTCGCCTTACATTCTGGCGTTTGGCCAGTTTGTACGCACTGTTTTCATTTCTTTGCAAACAGTCGTGCGCGCGAATTTTGCGTGCGACTATGCTCTCCGTCTCCTCCCCTCCCGACTTTAAGGGTAGCTCTTTGGGAGATGTTACAGTATCGGGAGCATAGCTCGCGCGCCGCTGCCTTGGGCTCAAGGCACGCGCGCCCTATTTGCCCGGACACCGCGAGTGTTCGCTATGTGCTGGAAAGATCATTACATCGATCTTATCCTATCTTATCCGCCCACCCCTCATACTGTACCTTCACAGCTACAGCAGAGCGATGGACGCTATTTGCCATCCGATGTCCACGGTCAGCGCCTTGGAATCGGATGCTATATGACAGGCTATATGCCCTATTTGAGTTACCAAGCTCACTTTCGACTGCGGCAAGAGCTTTGCCAAGCTATCGGACAACGTATTCCCCCCAGCCGTTCGGGAAACCCTTCGGGAAATACCTGGGGGAGGACGACGGGAAATACCAAGAGGAGTAGCAGGAGGAGGAACAGGAGGATGAGGAGACGGAGGAGGAGGAAGGCGCATTTTGAGAGTCTCAGGGGGCATCTTGGGGGCCTCCTTGTGCTTCTGAGCCCTCTCAGCGGGCGCCAGCTCCACGGTGTCCAACGTTGGCGATACGGCAGGGGCCAGCGTCGCCAGGGGCGTATCGGCGCGCGGCGCGCCACATGGAGGAAATCGAAGGAGCATCCGACAGGGTGGCCGACCACCTTCACGCGCAGGGGACCCGCGAAGCGCCCGAATCCATAGCCGAGCGCTTCGAGGCCACACGGCTGGACGAAGAACGACCACGCTCCAGCAGGCGATGTTCGCTAACGACTTTGTTTTCACGTGTATTGCTTTGGGGGCCTCTTGGGGGCCTGTAGGGTTTCTCGGATGCTTCTTTGGCCGTCTCAGGCATTCATGGCCCGTCTAACGCCGTCGGAGACCGTCTTGGGGGCCACTCTGGGTCGACTGGGGGCCCTCTTGGGGTGCTCCAGGGCCGTCTCGGAGGCCACCTTGGGCGACTTGTAGGCCTCTTGGGGCCGTCTTGGGGGCCCTCTTGGGGCCGTCTTGGGGGCCTCTTCGGCCGTCCTATGGCCACCTGGGGGCGATCTTTGGGTGCTCTTGGGCCGTCCTGGGCCGTCGGGAGGCAGAAAATATGCAAATGCCCAAATCCTTAAAACACCTAAGGGTGATCAATGATTTTGGCCTCGTGGGGCCTTCCTGGGCACCCTCTTGGAGGCCTCTTGGGCCGTCTGGGAGACCACTTCGGGGCCGCTTGGGTCGTCTTGGGCCATCTTCGAGCCATCTTGCGGCGTCTTGGTGGGCTCCTGGCCCCTCTGACGCCGTCGGGAGCCGTCATGGCGGCCTCGCTGGGCCGACTTGGGGCCCTCTTAGGGTGCTCCGGGGCCGTCTCGGAGGCCACCTTGGGCGTCTTGGAGGCTTCTTGGGCCGTCTTGGGGGCCCGCTTGGGGGCCCGCTTGGGGGCCCGCTTGGGGCCGTTTTGGGAGCTGTCCTGGGGCCATATTGGGGGCCTCTTGGGCGATCTTGGGCTGCCAGAAGGCCGAAAAGAAGCAACTGCCAAAATCGATGTGTTTTTGGCCTCTTCGGGTCCTCCTGGAGGACGTCTTGGGGGCGTCTTGGGGGCCTATTGGGCCGTCTCGGGCCATTTGGGGCGTTTCTTGGGCGGATTTGGAGGCATCTTAGAGCTATCCTGGGCCGTCTTGGTGGCTTCTTCGGCGGACTTGGAGGCAACTTGGAACATCTCGTGCCATCCTGGAGGCCAGCCTGGGCCAACGTGACCATCTTAGAAGCCATCTTGAGTCCGTTTTGGAAAATTCTTTGTGGACGTTGTGCTGGTTTGGGGGCATTCTGGGTGGCCGGCGCGCTCAGCCGAAGCCCCAAGGGAGTTCGAAAATAACCAAAAACCTCCTGAAGTCTGGCAGACCCGGCACCCGTGTGGCAATCCAACAGGGGGCGGCGGATCGAAGACGCCTGCGGCGAACCACCGCCGCCCCCTGCCTTTTTGGAAGCGCCTATGTGGCCGAACGTTGAGGCCAGACCTGCCAAGCCATCGGACCATGTTTTCCCCGAATCGGTTTGGAAAGCCTTCGGGGAACACGTGGGCATCTTGAAGGTCATCTTGGCCGTCTTGGAGGCCATTTTGACCCTTTCGGGCCTTCTTGGAGGGGCCGTCTCGGGCCGCCAGAAGGCCGAAAAGAAGCAAATGACAAAATCTGGCAAATACCTCAGGAACATCCATGTTTTTGGCCTCTTCTGGCCTTCCTGGAGGCCTTCTTGGGGGCCTCTTGGGCCGTCTTTGGTCAGCTTTGAGCCAACTTCGGCCATCCTGGTGGGTTCCTGGCATGTCTGACGCCGTCGGGAGCCGTCTTAGGGGCCTTTCTGGGCCGACTTGGGGCCCTCTTGGGGCGCTTCGGGGCCGTCTTGGAGGCCATCTTGGGCGTCTTGGGGGCCATCTTGGGCGTGTTGGAGGCCTCTTGGGCAGTCTTGGGGCCCTCTTGGAGCCGTCTTGGAGGCCACTTGGGCCGCATGGGGCCCTCTTGGGAGCCTCTTGGGCGATCTTGGGGGCCTCTTGGGCCGTCTTGAGCCGTCGGAATGCCGAGAAGAAGCAAATGCCCAAATCCTTCAAACACTAAGGGAAATAGTGATTTTGGCCTCTTCGGGCCCTCCTGGGGGACCTCTTGGAGGCCTCTTGGGCCGTCTTGGAGACCTCTGGGGGGCCTCTTGGGCCGTCTTGGGCCGTCTTGGACTCTCTTGTGCCATCTTGGAGGCCGTCTTGGACCATCTTGGGCGGACTTGGAGGCCATGTTTGACCATCTTGGAGGCCATCTTGGGCCAACGTGGCCATCTTGGACGCCATCTTGAGCCGTCTAGGAGGATTTTTCCGGAAATTGGGCGATCTACGGGTGGCCGGCGGGTCGGGCCGAAGCCCACTGGGGAGTTCTTTTAGAAAAAGAACCAAAAACCAAAACCGAGAGGGTCAAGCACGCCAGGCACCCCTGCGATGAACCGACAGGGGGCGGCGGATCTACTGGTCTTCGGCCCTTTCCGCCACCGTGCCTGGGATGCAGGTCAGAGGCCTCTCGGGGCCCTCTTTGCTCGTTTTGGGGCGCTCGAGGTTCCGAACAAGTCATGCGGGAAGCGCCGCGGAACCGTTGGAGGTACGCCAGAAACCCCGGAAAATGTCAGAGTTGGGGATGCGGGCCTTGTAATGCATATTCGATCTTGGGGATCGCTTGAGGACTGGGGAAAACAAGGGACCTGAGGGCACTTCAATTGATGCCTCGCGGCTCGGTGGCAGATCATGGCGTCGTTTCCTAGTCGTGGCAGTCCCCCCAAACCCGACGTGTTCCACCCTGCCCAAGCGTTACCGTTGCCCCGGGCCCAGACAACAACCCCAGCCCCTTTTGGTAACGATTTCTACCGAAAGTATAGAAAGACAATGACCACTAGATGCCTCAGAACTCCTGGAACGTATCCTGAGCCAGTCGTATCGTGGCGTCGTTATCTTCCTGTCTACTCCTGGTAGCTCCCTCAGCACGAGGACCGGGCCGCCGCCGTGGAGGTCTCGTGGGACAAGCCGGTACAGATCCAGCTGCGCGGGGAGAGGCGGGCACATCCCACGGCTGCGCCGGCGGCCTCTGGGATCGCCCCCCCTCTCTGGCCCCCTCCTCCACCTCTTCCTCCACCTCCTCCTCCTCCTCCTCCTCCTCCTCCTCCTCCTCTTCCTCCTCCTCCACCTCCTCCTCCTCTTTCTCCTCCTCCTCCTCCTCTTCCTCCTCCTCCTCCTCCTCCTTCTCCTCCCCTCCCCCCCCCTCCTCTTGCTGTTTGATGTTAGCCTGGGAAGCTGCGGGCACGATTCATCTGCAGATCAGTGCCTGTTTGGCTGTCTGGGAACGGGCGCCAAAGGGCCGAGGCGCAGTGGATAGACTGTAGGTATATAGCTTCTAGGGGCCAGATTTCCACGCATATTCACTGCGCCTCGGGTTTCTAGGGGCGGGGAGCCCGAAACTCCAAGACGAGGTATACAGGGAAAATCCTGCCTGCAGAGGTAATTAACAAGGGAGGAGAATCCCCGTCGTAGGTTCTTCGACTTTCTCCTCGGTTTTCGAGCGTCTTTGTCGGTTTTCGAACGTTCGCGTTGTTTCTCGGGCGGTCCTCGTCGGTTTTCGGGGGATCCTTGTCGGTGTTCGGACGTTCTCGTCGGATCCTGCGGATGTGCCTGCTTAGTGACGCTTTCCAGCAGCTACCGCTCTCGGTTTTCGGAGGGCCCCGAAAGGGCGAAGATGACCCCACCAGAGGATTCGAGTACGCCGCAGGAGGCCTAATGATGTCCGAGAGCCGAATTCAACCCAAGGGGAGCCCGAGGAGGCCCCAGAGGGCCGCGTCATTGAAGTACAGCGGGTGCATCAAGTAAGACATCAGCCTGCCAGCAGGTGCCCCACGGAGATTTGTCAGAGGAGGGCGAGTTGAGAGACAACGGTGGCTGGCTTCTGCGGGGCGCCTCATTTCCACGGCTGGGCGCAGTTCGGACAATTTGCGCGCTACGACCCAATGAGAGATCCGGGGACCGATGTGAGTTGCCGTTGCCTCGACCTGGCCTGCTCCTACCGGCGGCCTTGAGGACCCGCAGAGGCCCTTGGGCATCATAGGAAGCCCAGTGGGCGTCAACAAACGCGCCCCTAGATTTGTTATAACGGAGTTTCTTGTTGTGTGTGTGTGTGTGCGTCTATTATATGGTTCCCCGCCCTTGGGAACACTTTTCTCATGGCGGCTGCTAAGTTCCCCAACCTCTTGTCGACAAGGGTTATTTACTGGATCGCACACACACACACACACCGTTTTTACATTACCTTGTCTACACATATTCATATATGTAAACGTTGGCCGATCGTGGTCCCCATCGTGGCCACCCATCGTTGCCCCCAATCGTTGCCGCTCCCCATCGTGTCCCCCCTCGCGCAACTGTGCGAAGCTGCTTAGATTCTTCTACCGCAAGGGTGTCATTTACACTCACTGCAGCAAGTCGGGGTACAAGCTGTCAAGCCGTCCTGGGACAGGCGTCTCCGGCCGCGGAAAAGGTTTCTTTCGTATTCAGTTCGTCTTTGAGTTTTTTTTGTGGCATATAAGAGGGGCTAGGGGTGCCGGCCTGGGCCCCACGTGTATACACCACCACCACCATCCACCTCCTTCCCCTCCTCCAGCCTCCTCTTCCTCTCATCTTTCCCGGGAGAGGTGGTGAGGGGTGCGGTGGTGGTGGTGGTGGTGTGTATATACACATATATATGCTCACACACATTCACCCAGCACTCCATCTCTTGACCTCCCGAGACTCCTGATCGTCTCTCATGTTCTCTCTGATTGCCGTTCTCCTCTTCTTCCTCCTCCTCGTCCCTCGCGCTGCCTCCTCCCGCCCTCCGCCTCCGTCTCCTCATCCTCTCATTTGTGTTCCTTCCGTGTGTTTTCCCTTTCCTCCTTTGCTTAATCCTTGTACCCCTTAGGATTCACATAAGGATTTAATCGGAATGGGATCCAAGTGCGAGCCCAGTATGAAAGGAACGTACAGCAGAAAGGGAAGGAAGAGGGAAGAGGGGGAGGACGAGAAAGAATTCGATTCGGAGTACATATGATTCAAGTATGGGTTTCATAGGAAGGGGCGAGGAGGAGAGGGAGGGAGGACTCTATTCAGCTAGAAGCTGAATGAGCAAGGAAAGGGAAGACGAGAGGACAAAGGAGGAGGAGGGAGTAGGATAGGGAAAATAAGTCACTGGGATCATACATTATTCTGTGCATGTAAAACCTATACGAATGCAACGTATTATGTTCCAAAGGATAGCATTTCCTTCTGTGTTTATATGGAAGATGGTCTAGCGCCTTCGAGAACCTATGGAAACACCGGATGTTGCATTGTCCACATCAAACACCCGAGCGCTTTCATGGAACAGAAAGCATGTTGAAGGCTCTTGAAGCATGTGGGAACACAGCTGTATGTTCCTGGTGGAGGACGAGCCAGTCTTTGGCGCCGCCTTCTGTTTCTCTCCAGCCGCTGACGGACTTGTCATTTCTCCCGCATCCCCCTTATCTTACTCAATCATACGTTGGGGGCGTTCGTTGTGGCATGTGCCCAGGAGGCTTCAGACACTGGAGGACTGCGGATATGTTGAGGGCGCTGGTGATGTCCATGGCCAATCCACGGTTGGAGTTCCACTGGTCTTAGCCAATGCCCTCACCGTCAATCAAGGAGGAGGAAGCTTGGACCTGATAGGTCAGCTGTCCCCTCCCCGGTCCCAGGGGGTCGGTCCCTGCTTTCCCTTCGGGTGTGCGGTTTCCCGCGAGGGGCGGCGTTCCAGGCAGTGGCCTCCATGATCGGCTTCTGCCGTCAATTCCCTCTACCCCCGGGCACTGCGTGGACGCGTGAACTTTTCTCGGCGAGGCAAGCGCCAGTCACCACGGGGTCATTCGGGAAACAGGTCCTCAGGTTTTTCCCCGCTTTTGGCTCACAGGGACACGAGCTGAACTCGGACCCAGCTGAACTCGGACCCAGCTGAACTCGGACCCAAGCTGAACTCGGACCCAGCTGAACTCGGACCCAAGCTGATCTCGGACCCGGAATCCCGGACCCAAAAACTCGGACCCAGCTGAACTCGGACCCAGCTGAACTCGGACCCAGCTGATCTCGGACCCAGTTGATCTCGGACCCAGCTGAACTCGGACCCAGCTGATTTCGGACCGAGGCCCGCGCTGCAGCGAGAGCGTCCGGGTCCGAGATCAGCCGGGTCCGAGATCAGCCGGGTCCGAGATCAGCCGGGTCCGAGATCAGCCGGGCCCGAGATCAGCCGGGTCCGAGACCAGCCGGGTCCGAGTTCAGCGGGTCCGAGATCAGCTGGGTCCGAGTTCAGCCGGGTCCGAGTTTCCGGGTCCGAGATCAGCCGGGTCCGAGTTCAGCCGTCGGCTGATCTCGGACCCGGCCGCGCCCGAACTCGGCCGGCCATGCGCCCTCGCCCCCTCCCCGTCTCTCAGGACCGCAAGGCAACAAAGAGCCCATCGAGCCATCTGGAATGTGCGTTCCCGATAATCCCTCAAGCCCTTTAGGGCGTGAGTGGTCTAGCGAGCTCGTTCTGCTAAACCCCCTTCTTCCCCTTCGGGGAGGGGGTTCCCCCTCCCCCTACCCCCTCCTCCTGGGCCTGGAGGCGCCTTCCCGCGAGGAATAGGAGCGCCCAAGATGGCCTAAGATTGTTCCAAGAGGGCCTCAAAGAGCTCAAGATAGCCTCCAAGGTCAAGCAAGATTTCCCAAGATGGTTCAAGATAGCTATCAACAGACATCCAAGAGCTCTCGAGACCGCCACAGGACGGTTCCAAGTGCCTTTCGAGCCCTCCAATGAAGCCCTCAAGAGGCCCAAATCCTTGAAATCCATATTGTTTTCCGATGTTTTTTTGCATTGTCGCCCTTTCGCGTCCGATGAGCTCTTGAGGCCTCAAGATGGCTCCAAGATGGCCCACAAGGGCCCCAAGAGAGGCCCAGGAGGGCTCCAAGACGGCCACAAGAGCGCCCAGGACCGCCCCAAGAGCGGCCCAAGAGAGCCCCAAGAGGCTCATTTTCGGGTCCCGACGGGGGCACTGACTTAAAGAACCCCCACATCTTTCATCGATGAGACCTCAAGGCCTCCAAGAGGGCCCCCAGAGCCCCAGGACGGTCCCAAGAGAGCCCCAGGAGGGGGCCAGGAAGCCTCCCATATGGCCCTAGGAGGGCCTCCAAAAGAGCCCTGAATACCGGGGACGCATGAGGGCGGCGCCAGTGGGGCCTTCGGTGGAGGCATCCGTGAGGCCATGGAACGTGCATGCGGTGTCCCGAACTGGATAACGGGAGCGCATGCGGGCATTGCCAGTGGGGGATTCTGTAGAGCTCCCCAGGGTCCGAAGGAACGAGTGTGGTGAGTGGTGGCATGGTCGGCGGGAACGCGCGCGGGCCACGCCAGTGGGCCCTTGTTCGGTGGAGGTCCCCATGAGGCCACGCGACGTGTGATAAGTGTCCCGAAGAGGATTGCGGAGACGCATGCGGGCGGGGGCAGTGGGGCCTTCGCATTGCATGGGCCGGGGGAACGTGCGTGGGCAGTTCCGCCATGGGCGACGGGGGCGCATGCGGCCGGCGCCGCCAAGGCCTTCGGTGCAAGTCACCGTGATGCCGGGAAAAGGTGTGAGGGAAAATAATGAAAGTTGTGGAGGGGACGCATGGCGGCGCAAGAGGGGTCTCTTCGGTGGAGCACCCTCGGCGGCCACGACGCGCGGGCTGTAAACCATGTCATGTAAAAGTTCTGAAGACGCAAAGCGGCCCATCGCATCCAGTCCAGGCGGTGTAGCCGCTTGGATGATGCATGTGCTACTTGCGCGAATCCGCATCCATGAGTACCGAACGGGACACGCGTGCGCGCGTGGAGCCAGTCCGGCGAGGACCGTTCGCGCCGCGTGTGTAGATCAGTCGCGGCGCGCGGCATGACTAATGCACGCACGCGGCATCTGCGAGTTGCGGCGCTCCGCGCTGCCCAACTGCGCAGCGCCCACACATGCGCGGGGCCGACGGCGAGCAGCCTCGCGCGAGGAGCGCTCCTTGA